GGGGGTTGTTCCAAATTTCCTGGGGGGGTTTCCATGTGGGGAAAAATTGAGGAAAATGGTGAAAATACATAATTTTTAAAGAAAATTCTCAGGGTGGGGGGTTTCCTGAAGCCCAAAAAACCCCTCTGGATCCGCCACTGCTTACACTTTGTCTTTTGTAGAAGAAGCTAGAAGAAGGTTAGATTAAATGCCAGGAAACTTGATAGAATATTTACATTATTTTCCATATCTTTGATATCTTTCAATGATTACTATATTTGAATCGGTAATCAATATGCTGTACCAACTCGAGATATATCGCCATGAGCATTACGTGGCATTTTATTGTTTAAGGGTATAGCTTTAGGTCGTTCAAAGTTTTGTGTCTTCAAAACGCTCATCCTCACAATTCCAAGGGTAAGTTACGTCACTTACGTTTTCTACATCCATGCTATATGTAATATGTTGTTCAAAAGAATTACGCGGCACCGTAACTGTAAATTGACCGTCTTTTAACCCTTTCACCACTGTGGACCACAATGGACTCATCCAGATAAATGGATGGTAGAGTCTACTCAAGTTACCTAGGGGTGAAAGGGTTAATTCGGGTGACGCTCCTCTAACTTATTAGCCTTGCAATTGGTTATTTATTTTTGTTTTATCTGAAACTAATCATTTGTTTAAGGGGTGCAGAGTAATGTATGTGAGCACATCCCCTGCCTTTTAGGGGATGGCATAATCTGGTCAAGGCAGCATTATACTCTAACGGTCATGTTATTCTGACAGCAGTATGACCAAAGGTATCCAGGAAGACACCACCGACATACGGAGATTGCACAAGTCGTTAGTTGATCATGCAGTGAGATTAATAGAATCCATCCCTAATGAGAGGTATGGATAATGTTATTCAAACCCAAGGGATAAAATATTGAGCTGGAGACCTGAGGCTTTGCCGAGGGTCTTTTGCTCAATATTTTATCCCGATTGTTTGAATAACCTTATCCTAACCTCACATCAGGGATGAATTCTATTTCTTGCTTATTACCTAAAACAGCTGCTTTTCTAGTAAAGCTGTAAACTGTCCGCACATTTCTCATTTGCATATATATGAAGCCATGATCGCAATTGTTAGTGACGTCATGACCCTGACCGACCCCAAAAACGTCATAAAATGACGTCACGAACAATAGCGTGACCCCAAAAATGTCACTATAATTCCCCCGCCAGTCTGCGCGTATAAGCGATCTAGACCCGTGGGTCGGATAGAACTTTTCAGCAACGCCGGAATTGCGGATATCTCGTTCGAGTATGCAAGAAACTGCAGTCTATTCTGTCCGGTGAGTTGCACGGGTAATTATATGATACTACAAACATAATAACTAAAAGAAATAAACAAGCTCATCAGTGTTTAATGATATATGCATGTTTATAAACAATAAATTATATCACCTTTAATTGTTATTTTTGCAAACGATATTCCAAATTTATATTTAAAACCCTATTGACATTGTCCAAGTAAAACATACTCTCATTAACACTTGAACTAAGAGTCACATTCTTATTTAAACCTTTCGTTGATGAATCCCGTAACGCTTTCTGTTAAAAACGAACTCCCAGTATAAGTGTTTTTTTAAGGGAGGGGAAGGGGGAGGGGAGTTAAATTAAAAAGAAAACCAAATTAAATAGAATGTCTGCAAACTGCACTAATATTAGTTGCTTATTTCATGATGTTATTAATTAGAAAAATATGTTAAAATAAGACATGCCGAGGGTTTACGTTATGTAAGTAAGACGGAAAAGAATCGGTAAGGGAAGCCGTCGTCTTAAAGTCGATTTAGTGATGGAATGGGTTAATGAAATGGTTATTATGGTCATCAGTGTTGTATGTTAGACTATAAATTAAGCATTAAAATGCTTAAAATGCATTACGATCACAATCACAAAGCCAAGAGATTAGAGAACCTTCCAACGGATTATAGCATGTGTCAATGGTTTATAGCATGTTTCAACGGATTATAGCATGTGTCAACGGATTATAACATTTGTCAACGGATTATAGAATGTGTCAACGGATTATAGCATGTGTCAACGGATTATAGCATGTGTCAACGGATTATAGCATGTGTCCGGGGATTATAGCATGTGCCCGGGGATCATACATGTAGCATGTGTCAACGGATTATAACATGCGTCCGGGGATCATACATGTAGCATGTGTCAGCGGATTATAGCATGTGTCAACGGATTATAGCATGTGTCGAAGTATCATGGCACTTCTCGAGGGATTGAAGCACGTGTCATGGGATAATACATGTGGTGTGGTTCCAGTATAACATATATTGTTTGTGTCAAAGGATTATAGCATATGCTAAGGGATTTAACAAGTGTAGAAATAAATCGTTAACATAAATACTACTTATTGATTACAAAATAGTTTTGGGTCAATAGCAACTTGATTAAAATTAGCATTTCCACCAATGATAAAAAAAAATCACTCAGGAAGGAGGTAAACAACTCAATAAAATATATAAGGTTAGTGTATGATATTTTGCATGACTTGGCCAAGCAACATGTGTCAGACTGATACCAAACGGTAGATAATGAAAAAGCTTTCGATTCAATTGAATGGCGATTTACTTACAAATGTTTGCAATCTTTTAAATGTGACGACTCTTTCATTGATTCAATACTTAACAAAAAACCTTACCCTAACGGTAGAAACAATGAAATGTCCCTGATACTTTGATTCACAACGTCGATGATAGTAGCAGAATCCCTAATAACATGTCTGAAATGCATATCACCTATACAACTGAAAGTAAAGATATAAAAGTGTCAAAGTAGATGGTAACAATTATCGGCTAGAACAGTATACTGATTATGTGTTCTGCTAGATCCTTGCCAAAATAAGTGTGTTTGAGAATTATTTTGAAAGAGTCGGGTCTAAAGTGTCAACTAACATGGGTTGGGAAAAATATACTGAGATGACATGTTTTGCCTCGAGCGTAAACTCATACAGAACCAATGACAATGCCAAACTTAGCAACACTATTTTTCACTAGAATTATCAGGAATGAGAGAAATAAATTATTAAGAATTGAAAACATGTTAAATATTAGAAAATAAAACAAAATAACAGGAAGAAACCTTGATGAAACAAAAACGAAAGTATAAGTCATGTTTAAATGTATTACAATAATCCTTCAATATGGAAGAAGAACTTAAAAGTGATACATGTTGAAAGTTTTATAAAATATTTAAGATATCTTTAAAGATTCTTTGGAAGAACTTTGTTTGAAGACGAAAAGGTTAGATATTCAAAAATTTGGAAAACCAAAAGAACTTAGTGGTACTACATCAGAACAACAAATGAATTCCAGACGTTATTTCAGCATGGAATGTTTCCAATTTGATACTGACGTTAGGTCAGAGTTTGTTGATAAGGATAATTATGAATCACATTGCGTCAATTTTATGATGTTCAGTTGAAGATACAATTGATCAAATTGAAAACAAAACCTGGCCACGCAGGGAAAAACATATGTGATGAAGTACTACATCACCAATTCACGGACAACAGTCAGGCTCAAAGACGAATTAGAAAATAGAAATAAGCAGCACACGAATACTATTATGGACCAACACAACCAAATTTAAAACAGGTTTATACAGTTTGAAATATTAAGGCGACAACTGACTGATAGGAGAAAGAGTGTAGCAACTTAAAATTAAATACATTTTAATATATTTTATAAACATGATCAATTTATGATAATATACAATTTCATATTGTTTTGTAGAACATTAGTGTTGGGACCATAATGTAAGCTTTTTATTGTATAGTTGAAACAATGTAAGGGTTGTTCTACAGGCAATTGTATAGTTATGCGATCAACGTCCCTATTCTTTTTATTTAATTTGATCTTTTACGAGATATTAATTAGCCATGTTAATAAAATGTTTATTCACAATCATTCGTTTAAAGCAAAGAAATTGTGTTTTGTCCATATAACGTCTTGGTAAGACATTTTCTAGAGAAGAGTTGCAAACTTGATCAGCAGACAGTAGACCATTCATACAAAGAATGTAGATCGTTTGTTTGATTGCTTGTTTATGCTTATCTTCCTCTTGACACAAGAATGTCATGGACCAAAAACGTCAAAAGGAACTGAAAAAAACGATAAACACATCAAAAGCAGCTTAAAGCTTTAAAAATATTATATCAACGTTGTAATGAGTAGCGTAAACGCTATTTTATTTTATTATAGAGGAACATTTCGTGTATGTACTTAACTAATGGTTGTCAAAGGGGCCTATTCAAATTTTTCACTTAGTTTTTGTACATTGATACAATTATTAGAAACCTTGTTTTTTCAGATCACAACATGTGCCCATGACATGTTTAGCAGTGAATGGAGTATACCATATTCGTATGATTACATTTTGTATATCCGGTAGTTGGCTATCTGCTATTAAAACATATTTATTTTCCGTGATGACGATGGCCACGAGTCTGCTTTGGTTGGCGTATCTTGACAGGACTTGGGATGCTGTGACAAAGTTGGCTGGGAACCTGATGTTTGGCTGTTCCTGTGTTTATAAAAAAACCTTAACAGTCAACCATGATCGATAACGATCTAACGACCATTCAACGGTTTAATTGATATTTACTGTCATGTACTTTTTTTTGCAATATGCAACGTGTGTATTGAAAGATCTGTGATATTGCGATTATACAACTTTTGGTGGTAGTTTGGTATCATAAAACAAAACTGAAAAGAGGTATGGTGGTCAAATTGCTTGTACTTTCGTAAGTGGACTGTTATATGACTTTACAAAAACAAGTCCTTATAAGGAGAAGAAAACTACAGTATATGAGACCAAATATTTTGAAATGTTTAATTTAGCACTGTTGATTAGATCAGAAAGTTGGAAAGTGTAAGAAGGAATAATATTTTTTATAAGCTATGCACATATTGTCAGATTTTAAACATCTATCATGGTAAACCGAATAGATTACAGAATTGTTTTTCAAGATGCGCAATCGCAAATCTTTTTTATGTTCGTTATCGTAAGATACTGGATGTCGTACCATCTCAAATGACAATGTATTTTAATGTTTCAATTACACGTTAAAAGTACATACGGTATATGCTTTGTCCACTTAAACGTTGCCAACAGTGTGACAACGATGGCGGCAACACAAATTATTGTTAACAATGTCAAAGCGATGATCAAAGGTACGTTCCCGTCGCTACTGCTCGTCGAGTCAGGATCAGATTCCACAACCGTTGCACATTCTGATAAACAATACACACATAGGAAAATAATGTTTAATACAATTTCTATGCAATATTTTGTGAAGAATGCACCATGATTATGTTTTCTTCCACGACAAGTATCCACTAAAGCTACACAATTAATTTGAAGGAATTCAATAGATGTTAAATTTTGTTGTTGTTCAGTTTATGATAAATATGCTAAAAAATACACTAGAAAGTTGAAAGGGGATAAAATTAAATAAAAGAAAAAATATTCATATAGACAGCACTCTTTAAAATTAGGTGGCATTGCAATAGAAAGAAATCCAATGTACTGACGGATTGACATGAAGTTCTAGACATACAAAGGTTGCAATATGTTATAAGTGCAATATGTAAATTAGGACACAATATTAACAGCATTCTGGTAATGCCTATTTTACAACAAACGATATTACCGTCAGCATCACTTGCTGTGGTCCAGGCGTACGGATTGGACGAGGAGACACATCTCTGACAAGTGTCGTTTGTCTTCTTGGCTTCCTCTTCGTAGCAAGTCCCATTGATGAAGCAGTATCCGGACTAAAGAAAGGTGCAATTAACTATTGTTTGATACAGCTGATCAGCTTTTACGCCCCACCCCCTATCAAACGTAACCGTGGGTCGCGACCAAAGTGGGACACCCCGGAGGAGTTGTGTATATATCACTGTGCCAGGATACATTATTAAAAAACGTCACACATAAGTTTTCGTTGATTTCCATACCGTACTATGTCTTTTCAAATATCAATTACTAATGATTTAAGGTTCTTAAGTACCGCTTTATCGCAACCTTGTCCGTAGGTCGTCTCAAAGCGGTTCACAAATTATCATCCGTGGTTATAGGGCCTTTGTAACCATCCAATATCTTTCTTAACGCCATGGGGAACATACAGCCGGTGCTGCCATTTCGGCGCTCACAGCTAGCATTCAACAATTTTAACACTGTCCAATCACGTACTCGTTTACAGCTGAGTAGACTGGGACCAGCAGAGTAAAATATCTTGCTCAAAGATACAACACAGTGCCGTGCCGTGACTCGAACCGGCAACCTTTCGGTCACTAGCCCGGCGTCCTACCACTATACTACCCTGCCTACATAAACACGAGGGAATACATTTCAGAAGGAAAGCATATTTTTATATTTAGATTTTGATGCCTAGTTGCTACACATTTGGGAAGATCGTTGTTCTTAAATTGTTACAACGCATCGAAAATTCGTTGTTTTACAAATTAATGTTTTGATTAAACATGAAGATTTTGTAAAAAAAGAAGGAAACGACCTACCTCTGGGAAGTAAGAATACTTCCCTGTAGACTCAATAAAGCCTTGACAAGTTGAATCTAAAACAATGAATGGCAATCCTGAACTGAATGAATTGTCGTCCATCTTAAGGAACAACTGATATTCCAACACGAATACGTCCTCGTGACGTTCGGCATACGTCAGAGGACACGTGACCTGATATATATTCCTCTGGCGTCCAGGTACCTCCGAATAGCCAGCAAACGATCTTGATCCATTGTTATCAACCTGTTGAAAAGGTTTAAAACTCTTTTGTATGCATGTTTGTATCCGTAGTTTATCCATTGAAAATGTTAATAAATAAATATGAAAAATAACCAATTAATAACAAATAGCTAGAATAGCACACTGCATAATTCATTTACCGGAAATAAATATCTTCAATTCATTTTTTGTTATGAAATTGTGTTACAATTTAATGTGCTTGTATCATGCACAAAATGTAGATATTTTCTATGGCTTCCAAATACGGCCGCTCCCGCAAATGGTAAGTTTATCAATGACTTATAGATGCAAATGTAAGCGACGATGCCAATCATATTTAGAAGTAAAGTGACGAATACATGATCGACATTTCTGCTTTCTGAATGGTCTTAATATCTTTCGCAACTGATATACCTAGTCGCTTTGCTAAGTCGAGATTACCGGATTGTTTGTTGATTTTTTCACACGGGTGTTGGGCAGTTGCTGATCAAATCGCATTTTGTTAAAAAAAAACTCAGGTAAGCAGATACGAACATCATATAACAAATACTAATGATATCAATGATACTTGTTCTGAAATATAGCAAATTGAATTTCAGAAGTTCTTCACCATCGGAGAAATCATTATGTTTTTCGGGAGATTTCCAAAGTAAGGTTATCATAAATGTCATACTGTCGGCTCATAAACAAAATGCTATGACAATACGTCTCTGCAGTAGCAAATGTACATGCATACTATTGATAAACATTCGCTATAGTATGTTTTTGTAGCACGTTACAATGAGAAAGTTGTGAAATTGTGTAACTGGTATACTTAGTTTATGTGTTTTCATATCTAGATTCTAATCAGGTAGGACAGATATCCTGTCTGGCGGTTATCGTTATCAACAAGAAAGAAGTACATTATGCGTATTACTCACGTGAAACATGCTGTAGCGACATATGTACGTCCTGTTCGACGGGAAATCACCACCATTTACATACACCTCGAAACAGTCAACTCTGACATCACAGATAGGGTCAGGACCGAGATTAAGGTCGTCCACGTTTGGTGAAATTGTCAGGTCTACAGAGCAGTCGGCAGTAGCAAATCCTTCGCTGCATGAGCATTCACCTGTTACCAATCAATTATAATTCATAATATCATAAGTCAGCGTTATCAAGAAGCAATGCATTTTTGTTCCTGTATAGTTTTAATGTCTGATTGCTAATTCGAGTTAAAAAGGTTCAACCAACAATGGAAAAACCGACGTTATCAAAAGGAATACAGCAAATCTAAACTAAAATGGAAAAGGCAAAGGTGTTAACAGCAATCATCAATAACAAAGAATAGCTTGTGATCACATTATTGTCATAAATTATATCATTGACACAGAACCTATGATACCAACTCATTTCTAATATACACATGCTAATGTATGTATATAACTTCCTTAAATACAAAAGTGATTATATATGTAAAAAATCCCATTCGAAGTCTCTGGTACAAATTTTTTCTGTTTTGACAGAAAACTCCATTTTCTTATTATTTAATAGAAATGAGGAACATTGTACATGCCGATCCTCTCGTCAACTTAACACCTACTACTTCAAAGAAACAACTATTTTTTTCTACATAATATTTAACGCATGGATGAAAAGTCACGTTTTACCGTTTTCACAAATGCCATTATTAGTGCAATTGTTTGGACACGTCAGGTTCCGGACAAGTGACGCCGATTCGGGAAATGACTCCTGAATGGTGACATTTTTCTTCACCTCAGTCAGACACACCTGGCTTGCTCTGTCACTGGCAGCACCTGCCCACTCGGTATCTCCCGTAGCCTGTAAACATACCCCACTATATAAGTTCGCCTGTAGTATGTATACATACAAAGTATCATAAACTTACGATCTATATAAATATCACAATTGACAATTGCTTTGTCTGTATATCAAGACTACCATTACCTATGATTTGTTTGCATCAATAGTTACACAAACAAATTGGTTGTATTTGAAAACAATAACTCAAAATAATGGGTTGTTTTCTGTATTAACTGTAACATAAACTAATGGCTGTCTGTATTAACTGTACTATTATCTAATGGACTGCCTGTTAAAACACCATTAATTAATGGTGTGTCTGTATAAACAGTCACATAAGCTAATGCGATGTCCGTATAAATAGTCAAATAATGTGTTGATTGTATAAAAAGCAACATACAAATACGTTGAATGGGTTGTTATTTGTAAATACATTTAAGGATTGAATTCTGTTTTGTTGAGGTTTATGGGATATAAACCTCCATGGGTCTTGAGACACATTTTGAATTGGTCTCAAGACCCATTGAGTTTTATACCCCATAAACCTCAACAAAATGGGGTTCTATCCTTATATTTACATTCAGAGCGATATTGATATTTGTTCGGATAGTTTTTTAAAATATCGGTCGTGTGCAAGTCTAACACCACGGAAGGTATCAACATTTATAACGAGTCCTGGTTAGATGAATAAGGAAATTAAGATGTTAATTATTTTTTGAATTCAATTGAATACTTCTGACAAAAAAAACCAACAAATTGAAAACAATATATGATTGGAACTACTTCCCGCGTTCCGCGGAATAACAAAGTAATCAGGTTGATAATATGCTGATGTATTCATACGCCAACTGAAAAGTTCATTAAAAAATAACCTTTAAAATGTTAAGTATATTGAGTCCAAGTTAATGTGGAAATGTAAATATATATATATATACTTCCATTGTCTACTTAAATTTGAAACCATGTAAGCGACAGGAAAATGATCAATTTGGTTTGAAAATATGCTAAAGCAATACAATAAAGAATGTACTCTGAAAATTAAACAAAGTTCAACTCACTGCTGTTATACAATATGAACAATTGGGAAGATATTACATTCGGTCGTTCGTCAATACCTTATTATTATTATTATTTTATATGCATACATATACAACTGTACCATTATATCTAAAACACAGTTCTCAATCTCTGTATCGGAGTTGTCCACGTTCATTTCTTCGCATTGGATTCGTAATGGGTTTTGTGACATCTGGGCCTCACAGAAGATTCTTGCCTCTGTCTCAGTCATAGTACTCTACAGAGAGATTAAAAAGGACAAATGCCAAGTGTAGCGAGGATGGTAAGATAACACTCTCTCTCTCTCTCTCTCTCTCTCTCTCTCTCTCTCTC